TCAAATTAGGGTTAGGAGAAAATCCAGGGTAGGGTTAGGGTTAGGAAAACGACGGTCCCCACGAACTTTCTGTGGCCAGCAATGATCTCGGGCCGGGCCCAGAAGGCAAGAGGTGCAGAAAGATCCCCGCCCTCTGGCATTTCCAAGTCCGGTCCCGGGCATGGCCCTTTCCGCCTCAAATTGGTGCCTGGAGAACTCACTTAGATTCTCATCAGGTTTTCCTGCTCCCGCTGTTTTCCTCCTTCGTTCTCTGTGTCCCACGCTGAAATCCTCATGCTCTGCCTTTCTAGTCTGCACGTTCTAAGTCTTTCTTCTAGGGTAGAGACTCTTTTCTGGGTTGCATCTCCTTTTAAATTCACCCTTTTTCTCCAGTTATCATTTCAAATACTTTCACGGCGGTTGCTTCTTAACGCGTCGCTCAGGAAACGCTGCTGTCTGTCCCCCCGCGCGCCTTAATAGATTTGATTTCTCCCCCATCCCCTAATTGTTTTGCAATTCTGATTTAGGCTGTACCGGGTTTATGGAAAGAAGAACATCAAACTGGAACCAGTACCGCTGAAGGGCGCCTCTTTGGACCCTCGGTAAATGTGCAGGGGGATTCGTGGGAGAATGTCGCCCGCTGAGGCCATCTCTGATCCTCGAAGGACGAGAGAGGGACTGGGCTCTCCCCAGCCAGCTTCTCTGCCGATGCTTTGGACTTGGGAAAGGAGTAGGTCAGCATGGGTTTAATACTCTGCCGGCCCAAAATATCCCCACACGTGGAAAACAAGGGCTCAAGGACGTGCATCGGTTTCACTTCCAAGCCTCGAGCAGCTCTGAGTGGAGCCACACAGGTTTTCCGTGGGGAACTTGAGTCCAGGGCCCATTTCGGATTGCCCGTGTGTGGCCCCTGGGGAAAGGCTTGGCTGCAGTCTGGCTTCAGGAAGGTCTTGTGTTTGGGAATAATCTGTGGAAGCCCAAAGGGCTTGCCCTGAGTGGCGATGGGGCAGAGCCCCCGGTGGAAGTTTTCCATTGTGGAATTTAATCGGGGCCCAAGAGGGGCAGCTGCACCCTCTCCCTACTCTGGGCTCTGCCCTCCGACGTAAAGCCCGGTCAGCGGCCGCTTCTCCTGCGCCTCTTTCCTCCAACTCATCCCTTTCCGGGGGCCCTTGTAGGTTTGTTTTCCTGTTGGATCACGGCCTGGAGATCTACATCTGGCGAGGGAGCAAGGCCACCCTGAGCAGCACCACCAAAGCCAGGTAAATGCCACCTTGGGTTCCCTGCAAGGAGAAAGGCAGGCCTTAAATACCACAAAATAAAAAGAGATGGCACGGTTTTCATCTTCGCACCATGATCAGTTAGGTGAGTGCGTGGGTTTTATCCTTGCGCATCGGATACATCAGCCACTGGTAGCTTTCCTCCATGAGGACAAGCAGCTTTTGGGTCTTCTAGCAGGATTCCTTTCTGGCCCTACCCAGAGTTGCCGGGGACTGAACTGGAGAACTTCCGCACAGCAAACAAGTTCCAGGCACTTGAGTTACCTTCCTTCCCCTAAACTGGCAATTGTAACGGGCCTCCCGCCAGAGCATTATGCTAGCAGGCCACTTGTATACAAATCAAACAAATAAATCAGTCGAAACTAAGATCCTAGTCCTCAGGGTTCTGCATAAGGACCATCAGAAGCTGTCTTGCACCACGCAGTCCATGGGAGCTTCTGGCAGGATTCCTCCACACCCTGCCCGATTGGCCGGGGATAAAAGTGCCAGTGCGGCCTTCCGTGGGGAAGCCGGGCCTGCCTTGCCGCACTTCGCAGCGTCTCCGGGAGCTTTCTGGCGTGCCACTCCCATCCCCGCTGCGTGGTCTTGTCCCTCCAGACTGTTCGCCGAGAAGATCAACAAGAACGAACGGAAGGGCAAAGCGGAAATCTTGCTGCTGGTCGAGACCCAGGAGACGCCGGAGTTCTGGGAGATCCTTGGCGGGCAGCCGGAGGCCATCAGGATCAGTGTGCCGGACGATTTCAAGCCACCCAAGCCCAAACTCTACAAGGTGGGGCGGCCTTCCTCGGTCTTGAACAGGCGTCCTTTTCTCACTTGCTCCAGTTCGGAGGACAAGGAGCTCAGCTCAGAGGGCAGGGGGAAGCCGGGGCGGGGGGGGGGGGGGGGGGGAGGCGGGGGGGGGGGGGGGGGTGCTGCGATGCTGCGGCCCAGAGAGGGCTGCCCCCCGCCCCTGCCACGGCTCATGCGCACGAATGCAGTGTTTTCCCCATCTTCCGTGTGCCTCTGTTCCTACCTGTGCTGCTAGTGCAGGGATTTTTCAGAGCGCTCTCTCCGACGCTTCCAAAATTTGTTATTTCCAACCAAATCGGCATTCAAGCTGGGGGAGGGGGGGCAGCAGTCTCTACTCTGCCCCTTGGGGTTTCTCGGAAGGCCTGGCTTGTTTAAATCAATAGCTGGTCTTCCCCGGCAACTCTGGCATTGGCCGTGGGCACAAAGGTGCGGTTCTCACACTGGGACCGGCCTGAGTCATTTTGACCCCTGGGGCAGAACGGCAAATACCCCCCCCACCCCAAGCAAGTCCCCCTGGGCAGGAAGGCCCACAACTGCCTCTTCTCCCCCTGGCAGTAAAAGCGTAATAATGATAGCCAGATTTTTAAAGATGGTTCTGAACAATAAACCACTCCTAAGAAAAGTATCTGTCGCGCTTGAACCTGGCTGCCCGAAGCAGCGGCTGCGTTCATTCTGCCCCGTGGCTGGCCGGGTGTTCGTGCCTTTCCGCCCCGCTCGGGCAAGGCCTGGCCGGGCCCCCCGAGGCGAGGCGGCTTCCTCCCCCCACTAATGCCTTCTCCTCCCGTGTCCCCACAGGTGGGCTTGGGCCTGGGCTACCTGGAGCTGCCGCAGATCAACTACAAGCTCTCCGTGGAGCACAAGAAAAGGCCCTCGGTGGAGCTGCTCCCCGAGATGAGGCTGGTGAGGCCCAGGGGGTCACGGGGGAGCTCGGCCTCTCCTGGGACGGGCGCTGGACACCTGGCCGTGGGCTGAACCGGCCCCCTGGAATCCAGCCCACCCTGCTGAGGGGCACGCAGCGGGGTGAATGGCCAGTGAGGTTTGCGCTTCTGGGGAGGCAGGCCAAGGGGCCCCCGCCAGTCTCCTCCTCGCCATTCTCGTCTTGCAACAACAGCCCTGCGAGGCCAAGCGTGAGCGCCTGGCCCAAACGGGCCGGCATCTTTGGCTACTTGGAGTTCTGCAGCAGCTGCTCAGCCGCAGGTCCGCATTCGGGGGCTGCTGAACGCCGCCCTCTGGCGACGATCTGGGCCCATCGTGGCCACGTGGCCTTGCGGGCTCTGTCGAGGCGGCTGCCCACGGCTGGAAGCAGGACGCTAGGCTGCTGGCGAGGTCTTTGTCGCGCACTGGCCACGCTGCTTACAAGAAGTTCACGATGGACTCCCTGCATTGCAGCCCAGAAAAGCCGCGGTGCTTCCCAGCCCGTGTCGGTCGGGGTGGGCAGCTCGCTCCTCGGGTGGGACGCGCTCAGGCTTGTCTCCCCCGCTCCCCCCCCAGCTGCAGAGCCTGCTGGACACCAAGTCGGTCTACATCCTGGACTGCTGGTCCGACGTCTTCATCTGGATCGGGAGGAAGTCCCCGCGCCTGGTGCGGGCCGCGGCCCTCAAGCTGGGCCAGGAGCTCTGTGGCATGCTGCACCGGCCCAAGCACGCCGTGGTGGTGCGCAACCTGGAGGGCACCGAGTGCCAGGTGGGCCGGGGAGGGTGGTCTCCGCACCGGGGGGCAGCGGCGGGCGGGCCACGTGGCGGAGCGGGCTGGCGTCTGCGGGGTGGCCCGGACGGGTCGGCCTGTGGCGGGTGAAAGCGCTCGTTTCCGAAGAGCGGCTGTGCGGGTGACGCATCATCTGGCCCCTTCCCGCACTTGCGACCCCGCCATTAGCTGTTTCGGCCACTGGGTGGGCGATTCCGCTTCTCTCTCACCTGCTCGCTGCCTGCATCCCCGCGGTGGAGCAGCAGCTTTCCATGGTTGGTTCTCTGCTTGCTGTTTTCAACCCCGATTCATTCATTTTCTCGCTGGTTTGCGTCATATTTTATTCCTGGGCTTTGCATCCCTTCGGCTGCAAGCCGTCTTGACGACAGCTTAGGCCTACGGGTGCGGGAGGAAGAAAAGGTGGCTGGTTTTCGGAGCGTTCCGCCAAGGGCCCCGCTGCCCCGGCGAGGGGTGCGCTGGCGATTCCCGGGCACGGTCTCCGTCGCCCGAGCTGGCGGTGCTGAGCGGCTTCTCTCGCCCGCCAGGTCTTCAAGTCCAAATTCAAGAACTGGGACGACGTGCTGCAGGTGGACTACACGCGCAACGCCGAGGCCGTGCAGCAGGCCGGGGGGCTGGCGGGCAAGGTGCAGAAGGACGCCGAGAAGAAGGGCCAGATGAAGGCCGACCTCACGGCGCTGTTCCTCCCGCGCCAGCCGCCCATGCCTCTGAGCGAGGTGCGCCCCGGGGGCACGTCTGGGGGGAGGGGGCCGCTGCCATCGACCGGCGGGTGCTGCCTTCCGCGCCCCCCCCCCGGCCCCTGTCCTGACGGGCGTGTGCTCCGCCTCAGGCCGAGCAGCTCATGGAGGAGTGGAACGAGGACCTCGACGGCATGGAGGGCTTCGTGCTGGAGGGCAAGAAGTTCGCCCGCCTTCCCGAGGAGGAGTTCGGCCACTTCCACACGCAGGACTGCTACGTGTTCCTCTGCCGGTGAGCCCCGGGGGGCCTGGGGTGGGCAGGGGGGCCTCTTGGCCCCGGCGCACGAGCCCGGCCTCCTCGCCCGGCCCTCGCGCCAGGCTGAGCAGCGGCCCCTCTGCCCCGGCAGGTACTGGGTGCCGGTGGAGTGCGAGGAGGAGGCGGACGAGAGCAAGAAGAAGAGGAAGGCGGGGGCAGAGGGGGCCGCCGAGGGAGAGAAGGCCGCCGAGGAGGAAGGCGAGGAGGACGAGGAGAAGCAGCCCGAGGAGGACTTCCAGTGCGTGGTGTATTTCTGGCAGGGCCGCGAGGCCTCCAACATGGGCTGGCTGACGTTCACGTTCAGCCTGCAGAAGAAGTTCGAGAACCTTTTCCCCGGCAAGCTGGAGGCAAGTAGCGGATGGGAGCGGCCGGAGTTCTCCCGCCTCTTCCAAAAGTAGGATTCCTTTATTTTTCTGGATGGTGCTCACAGAGGACACCTGTCCACCCGGACCCGTGTGGTCAGGGCATCGGGGCCCCTTGGATGGCTGTCTTCAGCCCCCGGGTCACACGTCGGGCATCCGTGCCCCAGCGGCAGAATTCCTGGCTTCCCCCCAGCGCTGCGCACCCCACAGCTGGCCCCTTTCTGGCAGGGTTCTTGGCCGGGGCACAAGCTTTGGACAAGCGGCCGTAGGGGCTCAGAGGCCGCTCACCCGCGGTTGCCCCCCGATTCAGGTCGTGCGCATGACGCAGCAGCAAGAGAACCCCAAGTTCCTCTCGCACTTCAAGAGGAAGTTCATCGTCCACCGGGGCAAGAGGAAGGCCACGGACGACAGCGGCCTCCAGCCAAGCCTCTACCACATCCGGACGAACGGCAGCGCCCTCTGCACCCGGTGAGGCCCTCCTCCCCCAGGACCCGGCCCCTGCCTGCCTCGGGCCCGCTGGAGCTTGCTTTCCCAGCCTGGGCTTCCCAGGGGCGAGGCCTGGGCCCCGTCCCCGAGGCAGGGGCTGGGCCTGGGGGTGGAATTTGCAGGGGAAACGGCAACTGGGCCTCATCTGGGGCCGGCTTCCTTCTCGTAGTCCCCCTTCGCAGCAGGCTGGGAACACTTCTGATTTGCCTTCGGGTGTGGAAGGGAACTTGGCGGCTCACCAGTCCAGGCCTCCGAAGGCCCCACATGTTCTTTCCTGCAGGCCAAGCCTCACCCCCCCCCCCCACGCCTCTCCCCGCTCGCGGGACTGGCTTCCCAGACCTTGCACCCTTCTTTGGACGTGCTGCAAGGCATCGCGTCCTCCTTAGGACAGGCGCCCAGGCCGGGCGGGGGGGGCGGGGGGGCGCTGGCCACCAAGACCTCCTCCGTGGGCTCATTGCGATGCTCTCCGTCCTCTTTTCCTTTGCACCCCCTTTTCAGATGCATCCAGATCAACACCGATTCAAGCTTTCTCAACTCTGAGTTTTGCTTCATCCTGAAGGTAACGCACCCAGAGCCATCTGCTTGGGCGGTAGCATTTATTGGTTTACAGGTCCCTTGGCTGGTTTTCTGGCCCAGCTCTCCAAGCACATGACTTTTGCAAATAAGCTAATAAAGTCTCAACAATAAAATCTGGGAACTTAAATACACAGAGGGAGCTGGAACTAAAAGACTTTAAAAGGCTCATGTCTTTAAAGGATGCCAGCTCACACTAGTTGGATTTCAGAGGCCAACACTGAAAAGACCCTTGCTCAGGGGCCTGCTAGAGAGTAGGACTGCCACAAGATTTTCATCTCTAGAGTTCAACAAGCAGGGAAAATGCAGGAGACACCCTGCAAATCACCCCAAACCCAAGTTGAAACTTTCAAGATCTCCCAAATCCACAAGGACTTTTGAAAGTGCTTCCCGGCAGGTGTTCAGTGGGTCTACTCTGGCAATCTGGTCCAACTCCTTTTCTTGGCACAAGTGGCTGTTCTTCCTACTTAGCTGCCTGGTCTAGCCCTGAGGAGAGCTGCAGGCTCTGGCCGTGTTATTTGGTATTCATAAGGGCCAGAAACTTGTTTGCAAAGCCAGAACGGGAAGCCAGACACTTGACAAAGTGGAATTCCACCAAGACCGAATTCCTGAGGTGTTGCTTGTATCGGGTGGTGAGCCATGGGCTATTCAACGTATCCCGCAATGCCCTCCTCCTTTTTGAAAGCTGTTACGGGGCTCTCCGTAAGATCACCACGTCCCCGCTCCTTGCACCAGCTCAGTTTCTTTAGGATGCCGTAGAAGCTCCTTTCCCCCACGCCCTTCGCCGCGCTAGAGGTGACGTCCGCCGCGTTCCTCCCCTCCCCTTCGTTCCAGGTCCCCTTCGAGAGCACCGACAACCAGGGGATTGTGTACACCTGGGTGGGCCGCGCTGCTGACCCCGACGAAGCCAAACTGGCGGAAGAGATCATGAACCACATGTTCGACGACTCCTACAGCAAGCAGGTGAGGGGGCCGAGAGAGGCGGCAGGAGTGAGGAGGAGGAGGAGTCGCTCCGTGGCCGGCAGCGGGCTCGGGCTTTGCGGGCCAGTCCGTGACACAAGGCAGATGAGCGGGGGACGCCAGACGGTGCTGTCGGCCGGGTCCAGGCGGTGATTCGTCTGGCCCGGTTTGCCGGCACCGAACCGGCTGCATCTCTCCATCGTTTCTTCCCATCGCCCTCCCTGGGGACGCTGGGAGACCTTCTGCAGGCGAAGCAACAGCTCTGCCCCAGAGCCGCCTTTCCCCTGCGCTTTCCCTGTAAAGATAAAACCTTCCAGGGTTCCAGTCCTCATGGGTCTGGATGAAGATCAGATCTACGCCGGCACGTTCGCAGCACCCTTGCGCCAAGCGCCATGGTCCCTCTGGCCCAGTAGAGTTGACCCTTGCCGGCAGCAGCGGCTCTTCGGGCTTTGGGGTGGCTGATTAATCAGACGCCGCCAAGGGGCTTCCAAAATTAGTCCCGGGAGAGGGCAAACAGGTACCCGCAAGCATGTTTGGAAACCTCACTTATCTACCTGTGTGTCCTGCGACATTTTCTCCACTGAAACGCAGTCCTCTTAACCTCCTCAAGCTGCAGCCCCTCCTGCATTTGGGGCGTCCGGTGCCCAAGCCCAGGGACCTGCCCCGGACCACCCGAGACCCTCTTTCTTCGCTTCCAGGTGATCAACGAAGGAGAGGAGCCAGAGAACTTCTTTTGGGTTGGCATCGGGACCCAGAAGCCCTATGACGGGGATGCCGAGTACATGAAGTATTCTCGCCTTTTCAGGTTGGCAAGTCGGGCCCGTCCAGCACGCCAAGCACCCCAGCTCCTCACGGGCACCCCCCCATCCTACAGAACCCCCTTTTTTTGCTCGTTTGCCCCCAGTCGTGGGGAATATCAAGACAGTCCCAGCTCCTGCTCAGCTGCAGTTGCAAAACTAGTTTCATCCACCCCTCCCGCTTCTGGTCTCATGCTTTCAAACACATCCACGTAGTCATAAGGACTAGCAACTTTGCGGCTTAAAAGGGCCTCCTTAACAAGCAAAATACTGTGGCAAGCACCACCTCCACTGCATTTTCTCTGCTCCCGAGGCGGACAGAATAATGCGTCCTTGAAAAATGAATTGCGATTAATCTAACGCAGAAAGGCCTCGGGCTCGGTGAACGTCCGCAGCTCGTGGCCCTTTGAAACGGGGGCAAGACTGGCTGGCGGGGGCAGGCTTGACTGAGGGGGCCCTTCTGGCTTTGCCTCCCCAGATGTTCCAACGAGAAGGGCTATTTTGCCGTGTCGGAAAAGTGCTCGGACTTCTGCCAGGACGACCTGGCCGACGACGACATCATGCTGCTGGACAACGGCTGCGAGGTGCGCCCGGGGCAGGTGGGGGTGGCCGGGGTGGGGCAGAGCCTCGCGCGCAGGTGAGGGCTCCCGGGCTCGCTGGGCGAGGGAGCCGCCGCCTTCCGCCCACAGCCCCTTCCGGCCCCCACGTCCTCCCCAAGCTTGGCTGCCGTTCTTGCCACAGCTGGGTGCGAGGACGGGGTGGATCCCGCCAGGAGGAAGAAACCCGAGTGTTCTGGGTGGGCCTGGCCTTGAACGGGCCGTTAAGGCCAAACCCTCTCTTGGGCAGACGCTCGGGGCGGGTGGCTCCTAGCCGCACTCACTGCGGCAGCCGAGAGCATAAGCGCACTCGGTTTCAGGCCGTGGTGCCGGCTTCCGGCAAAGTCCTGGAAGGGCGCAGCCCAGCACATGCTCGGACAAACAAGCCTTGCGATTCCCAGCAGTGAACTTGCAAAACTTCCTGCCTCAACATGCCGAGCTTTGTCCTGAAAGAGAGTGAAGGAGGGACCTCATGTTCCGAAGTGCTCTTTGTCTCTCTCCCCTTGAACTGTCTAACCTCACCTACCATTTTCAGGTGTACATGTGGGTTGGAACCCAGACCAGCCAGGTGGAGATCAAGCTGAGCCTCAAAGCTTGCCAGGTAAAGACAACCCTCTGCAGGTCGCCCTGACCGGGGATCCACCGGGAACGGTTTTACTCCAGGATACGTAGTCCTATCTTGTAGCTCCGCAAACTTGGATGCTTTTGACGTGGGTGGACATTGAGCTGTTTCGCTGATATGTTTTTAGCCATTTTTAACAGCAGAGCACCTTCCCCCTGCCTTCGATGGTCTCTGGGGCCTCGGGTTGGAAAAAGGCTCCAAGAGTTGTTGGAGGCCTGCCGGAGCTCAGGCTGGTGCTGTGTGCAAGATGCAGCATCTCCCCTCGGATTTTGGCGGCAGCGAGCAAAGCGCCCTCTCCCTGGGGGCGCTGGCCCAGCTGAGCCCCCCTTTCCACCCCACCCAGGTGTACATCCAGCACATGCGCGCCAAAGACCCAAGCCGCCCGCGGAAGCTCCGGCTGGTGCGCAAAGGCAACGAGCCCCCCGCCTTCACCCGCTGCTTCCACGCCTGGAGCGTTTTCCGGAAGGCTCCAGCCTAACCGAGGGGCCGAAGCTGCGACCGGGACCCTCCGACGTGGACGATGGACTTTAAACCCCTTTCGGCACGGGGGGGGGGGGCATCCCCGTCCCTCCCCCACCAAGCTGCTCTGCCTTGACAAAGCGCCAGTGGATCGGACAAAGTGTTAGCAAGAGCGTGCCGGGACCCAGGACCCCCCCTTTAAAGGCCCCCCCCCCCCGACCTGTCTGCTTTGCTCGCGCGCGCTCGCCTCGGGCGACCAGGTTGCGGTGCGTGGCTCGCGCTTGGGACTCGCGACGGGCACACGCTTTTCCCGCTGCCCCCCAACGGCCGCGAGAGCTTGTTTCGCTCCCACCAGTAGCAACTGGGCTATTTATGTAAAACACGCACCTCCGCGAGACCCGTGTGGGAGCCCCGTTCTTGGAGCCGTGTGTCCGGACGAGTTCGTTCCGGCCCCGTTCGGGAAGGGCGGCTTTGTGCCGACGCTTGGGGGTGCCCAGCTGAAGTCCGGTGGCGGGGGGGGGGGGGGGGGCCGGTCGGGGGGCCGCGGGGGGGGGGGGGCCCCGGCCCCCCCACCCCCAGCGGCCCGGGGGGGGGGGGGGGACGCACGCCTGCTGAAATGCCTCTTCTGGGCAAAGGGACTTGTGCCTCCCCCGCCCCCCCACTGCTCTGGGCTGCAGCTCCCATCAGCCCCGATGCAGGAACATGGGCAATGCAACCCTGCAGGTGCCTTGCCATACACAGCACCCCCACCCCCCCCGGGAACTCAGTGCTTGGCTGCATAGCTCTGATAGATGCCATTTTGGGGGGAAAAAACAGCAAAGAGACAGGTTTTTTGCTTTGGCAGATAGACTCTGCTGCTAGTCCTCATGGGGCAGAAAACAGCCACTTGGGGTTGCATTTAAAGAAGGGCTGCTTTGCTCGGGGGGGGGGGTTCGGCTGTGCCCCCAAGCAAGCGGGGGCCAAGTCCTTGCACCCTTCCGTTTTCCTCTGGCTCAACCGGTAGCCATTTCTTCTTTACTGCCTCCTGGCCGCATGGGACTGTGGCTCCTGCATTTGCGAGTGCCTGAAGCTCATCTGCGCTCACAGAACATGGGCAGCGCCTTCCGTGCCTTCAACTTCTGTGCAACGGGCAGAGATCGAGCAGGCAGGGTGTCTTGGCGCTCTCATACCCCCGCCTGCACCCCACACGCCACAAAATGGCAGCGCTTGAGCTGCGGGAGACACGGCTGTGCCGACCGGCTGTGCTGGGCGCCCGGGGACGGGGAGGGGCTTCCCCTCACTTGTGGGCACGATCCGAGGGTGGGCACTTGCGGAGCCTTGCGAGCTCGCACACCCCGATGCCGCCCGGGAAAGCCCCGCGCCGGAGGCATGGCCACTTTGTGCTTGTCAGTGCTTGCCGGCGGGAGACGGAGCGCAGCCCGAGCCTGGGGGAGGCGTCCCCCCCCATCGCCGCAGGCCGTTGGACACGCTCCCCTGCCCCAGTGGCTCGTGCCCTCCTGCTTGCCGTGGAGACACCGTCGCCCTGCGGCTCGGGGGCTCGCCCCGGGGAAGCAAGCGGAAGCTTTGCAGACGGGGAAATCGCTCGCAGGCAGCCGTGTCACAGCAGCCCCCAAAACCTGGGCTGGGCGGACTCCCGCTCACGGACAAAAGGGCAGGGAGCCGGTGGCATCGCCAGCCGCCTCCTAGTCTTGCGCACAGCACACGGAGGGGGTGAGGAGGAAGCCTCCGGAAGGGCCCCCTGACTTCCCGGCACAGCCGTCACTCGGGGTGCACACCAGGGGAGGGCCTGGGAACCCTCCTGCCCCATCCCTGCAGCGGGGAGGACGAAACCCTCGCTGGCGCCCGGCGAGGGCCTCGGTAAAGCAGCCACACCAAGCTTACAGTATTAAATGCTTTATTTTTTTCCCTTTATTAAAAACCTGTATTAATAACTAAACAAAGCTAAATCCATTACCTGGACCCCCAAAAAAGTCCCACCAAGAAGGGCACATTCTAGCCAGGAAACTAACCCCCTCCCTTCCCCTCCCCTCCCCAATTCGATCTGCCAAAAGGAAAAAAAAGTAAGACACCGTTTTGACTAAGGGCTGCCCCCCCTCACCCACCAGGCACACGCAACTCACACACCCATCATTCACACGCCCGCACGCGAGGGGGCAGGATGCGAACCGTACCGACGTATTCGAAGCCCCCACACTGTCTTCAATGGGGCCGGGGTCCCACATGTGGGGGGGGGGAGTGGCAGGATGTCCCCCCTGCAAAACCCCAATCGTGGCAGAGGAGGAGGTGGCCCCCCAACCCAAGGCGGGGCTCCCCGTATTTAAGACTCTCGCGCCGATCGAGGCAGGGCCAGCTGGGTCCGTCCCAGTCCGGAGGACAGACTGGGCCGGCTGTCCTTGCCTGCTGTCCAGCTGGATTTCCCCCCCCTCTTGGCCCTGAAGTGGCTCTCAGCCAGCCCTGCCTTGGCACAGAAGCATCGGGGGGGGGGACCGAAGGTCGGGGGGGGGAGTCCTGCTGCCGCAAACCGCAGGAGCTGGTCGAGCGAAGGCCGGAAGGGAAGCTGCCCCGCGCTTTGCCGGCGAGGCCGCATCTGGCACAAGTCGGCCTGCAAGAGTCCACGTGTTCGGAGGCAATGCAAAAGGAAAACCGAGCAAGACGCTTCCAAGGATAAGGCAGAATCTTTTCGGGAAAATGAGCACTGGGGGAAAGAGGGTTTCCCTACGAAGGCAGGCAGGCAGGCGCATCTCTCGGCTGAAGCCCTTGCAGAATGAACAAATTCAGGGAATCCAACTTGCTGCCATCTCTGCCAGCCAAACCCCCCTCCAAAAAACCTCAAAAGCACCGCAAGGCAAAAGACAGTTTCTGGCTGTGACGGGGGACAAGGCAGGCCCGGTCTGGTGGTCCTCCGACCCTCAGGGCCATGGAAACACACTGCCTCTTAAGAGCATCCCGCAGCAAGTCCAGCCGGTAGCCGAGAAACTGCTCCAAAGTTGGGATTTGAAGATAAACTGGGGCCAGGCCTCGAAAGCAAACTTGGCGATTTGTTATTGCGGGAGCAAAGCTGGGCAAGGGAACGGGCGCCAAGCGGGATGCGGCCGCACCTGCTCAGTCATTCCGACGCGTCCAAATGCTTCTGGGCACCTTCCTGTCTGGGACCCCACAGAGGCCTTCGCTGCAGCCCCCAGAACACCCCGGCTTGGGGGCCCGCGCTCGAGCACGGCTGCAGGCCCCCTGCTCGGGGAGGGCTCTTCCCGGGGGTCTTCGAGAGGAAGAGGATGTGCCGGGGAGCAGATCGAAGCGGGGAAGGCTGCGAAGCTCACATGGCCGCTTCGGCTTGGGCTCCCAACACTCCAAGTGCGCAGCAGGTGTTTTTCCGTCGTTCCACCGCCAGAGAGGCATACAAGGGTTTCCAACAGGCGCCCGAGACTTGCAAGGCCGTTTTTGGCGCCCTGTGCCCAGATGGCAATCCTGCCCCTGGCCGACAGTCCGCAAAAGCGCATGTACCGACACGGGATGCTCCGGGTGTGCTTAGCCGTCCCGCTTGTGGGAGCGAGGCCCGCAAGCTGCAGGACTTGATGGCCACTCAAGACAGGAAAGCCCCACTGCCCCTGTAAAATGTGTGAGCCGCAATTCTGGGAAAGGGGAAGGCGGAGGCACCTTGTCAGAACACATTAACCCAAATCTCACGGGAGGCCGAAGATCGGGGGCTGGCTGCCCCCGCGGCTCCAGCAGGCCTTGCCTTCGGCTCGGGCGGCTGGGGTGGACGGGCAGCGCAGGGGCGGGACCACAGCCCCCCATCGCGGTCTCTGCGGGGCCCCCCACACGCAGCTAAGGCGAAGAGTGCTGCAGCGCAGCGGAAGGGCGGTGGCGGAGAAGCACACGTTTAAGGCGCCGTGGGGTCCCCAACGCCGGGCGACCCCAGCCTGGAAAGCACCGCGCTGCCAGAACGGAGGACCTGGCAGAAGAGCACAGCAAGGGCCCCCGCGGGCGTTTCCAGGACGAGACGAAGTTCCCAGGCAGCGTTTGCTCCGATGAGGTCTCCGGGCAGGCGAGAACAGCTTCGCACGGGGAGAGAAGGACCCGCCGGACGGAGCTTCTGAGGTGCAGCGAATGGCAAGCCCCCCACTCCGCAGAACACACCTCGGGCGGGGAAGGAGCGGAAGCGAGCGCAGGCAGGGGCCCGAGAGGGTCACTCAGCCCAGCCGTCATGCGGCCGCTCCGAGCCGGAAAAGGAGGCGGGGCGGACGCTTTCCATCGGCATTGCAAGGGACCGCGGGAGTCCTTCCGGGCAGGTTTGGCCACAAAGTCCTGCCTGCAGCCAGGGAGAGGCGGGCATTTTCCACCTTCGCCATCAGGCTGGGCAAGGTGCGAACGGGCATTTCGAGCGTCAGGGGCACTGCAGGAGGATGGGAAAGCACGTAAGAGAACATCCTTGGCGGGAACTAAGATCAGCTGGCAAGAGGCGAGGCTCCGGCAGCCCGGTCGGTCCAGGGGGCCCCAAGGAGGCGCCCGGTGCTCCCGAGAGTAAAATGGTCCTCCACCGACGGTGCATAAAAGTCCCCTTTCGGCACAAAATGCTGCCAAGAGACGCCAGTTCAGCCCCAGCTTGGAGACTCTGGTTCAGTCTTAGCAGGTCTAGTCACTTATGCATCGGTCCCTGTCACCTACAGTTTGTGTCTGGTTTTGCTTAAAAAAAAAACCAAAAAGATTAAGGGTTTTTAGTGTTTTTGTGCAAAGGAAGAAGAATAGACACAACTTGGTCCTGCTGGAGGTTGGCACACAGTTTCCTTTCCGTCAAGAAAAGCCGCGATCGTGCAGAGGTACCAAGGGAGAGGTGGCGACGAAGATTCCAGCGCGGAGGCTTCGCGAGGCCACGTGTTAGAAAAACTTTATGACACTTAGTAAAAAATGTGGGAGGGGGTCTCTGGGGGGAGGAGGAGGAGGAGAGGCTGGGCCAACCACTGGTTGTCCGAGGGAAGTCTCATTCGAGGGGTTCCAAGTGCCGGAGCGAGTCCACTGGACCGTGGGTGTCTCTGCAGACGGAAAGCAGGTTCATCAACAGGGCTGGATTAGGCCCTGCCAGGGTGCAAGCGGGATGCCAAGACGAGGACGGGGAGCCCCAGTCCTAAAGGTCGGATCCAGCCCCCTCGGTTCCCCACAAGGCCACCCCCTTTTCTCCCCCATCTCCACTCATGCAGCAGCTTCCTGAATTTCGGGCGATCTCCCCGCTACTCAAAATGCACAGAAAGCGTCTCCTTGGCCCTGGTGAGGTGGGCGGGGGGGACGAGGTTTGAACTGGAACAGGCTGCCTTTCCTCTTTTTCTTTCTGCGTTGGGAGGGGAGCATCTTGGCCCGCTCCCCCGTCTTCAGACCCACACGCCCCCCCCCCCCGGGATGCATTCCGTAGCAGCTCATCCACACTTGGACTGGACCCTTGGACTGGGCGGGGGGTTGGCCCGGGCCCGGCCACGTGCTTCGGGCTTCAGGCCCGGCCTGGGGGGCGAAAGCGCTGGAAGCGGGAGCCCAAAGGCAAAGGTCTGGAGGGCTGCCGTTGAGGAACGCTCCGCTGCCGCGAGCGAGCCCCTTCCCAGAGGCGCAGGCCGCCTCCCGTCCCCCCTCCCTGTGCGGAGGAGGATCCCGAAGGAGCCGGCGTGCCGTGTCTTCCTCCCGGCTGTGCAGGAGCAGGAGGAGGAGGAGGAGGGCTGGCATGCACGGCGCCCGGATGGGCCCACGCCCGGCTCGGCAGGTTCGTCACACAGCTCTGGGTGAAGCGGCGCTCCTCCTCCTCGGCAAGGTAGCTCCTGCCGCTCCCCGGCCCCTGCCCCACGCTCCCCAGCCCATTCAGCCCTTGCTCCCGGCAGCAGCTCCGGAGAACTCCCCAAGCATCGGCTCCGGACGTACACAGGCACTCTTGAGGACTAGAAACTTGCTGCTCTTGTTTGAAGGAGCAACCCTCAGGCCGTACCTCATTTAATCAGGATCCCTGCAGAGCGAGCCTCATCCTCATTTATGTTTCTTAGGTTTCTCTCTGCTTCCTCGGAGGGCCTGTGAAAGGGGAGAACACCACACATGGCCTCATCAGCACCGGATCGAGGCCCAGAGAAGTTTAAGCAGAGCACAAAAGATGCCCGGCCCAGCCCTGGCATTTGGGAAGCGAAGAGGGATGGCACTCAGACATCCAGGCTCTTTTCAGTACTGGGACACATCGCCCTTAACTGTTAAACCTTTCTTTAAAAGCCCTAAATAGTTTCCAGTTGACATCAATTCTGCGGCCTGCCCTCCAGGGAGCTCCACCTTGGGCTTTACGTCCTGCATTTCGCTGCCAGGTTCAGGTCTTCCCATCCAGCAGATACACCATTTCTGATCAGACTATTAAACACCCCTTTTTGTCTTTATATTTTATGTGTCTGGCATTTTTCAACTTCCACAGCTGCCCTACTGCCCCGCGGGGCTTTTATGCTTGCACAAGCCCAAAGCAGGTGCTGCGTGGACGGGCAAAGAAGAAAGTAGCACAGAGAGAGGTGGTCAAACTAAGCATCAATCGCGGGGCAAGGTCAGCGGACGCTGCACCTGACTGTCTCAAATCAGGGTGCCCAACGAGCCACCCAAGAGGGGCCGCCCTGCTCTCGCCTTCCCCTCGTGTTGGGCCTGGGCTGCCTCCACGGAGCAGGCTGCCCCCGGGGGGGGGGGGCACCTCTGGGTACGCCCCAGAAAACGCGCCTATTCCAGTCGGCAGCAGGCCCTTGGGAAGCCCGGCGGCGATGCCACGTTTGAAGGGAGCCGGTGCTCCGACTGACACCGAGAGCGACTCACACCAGGTAATCCTTGACTTCCTCGGTGGTGATGTCCCCGGAGGCGTCCAGAGGGGTGTCGATGCTGTTGCTGGGCGAGTCGACCGGCGTGGGGCAGAAGGACGCCTGCAGCTCCTCGGGGGACCCTGGGCAAACAGCAGCAAAGACGGGGTTGGGGGCCGAAGAAGAGCCGAGCCGAGCCGAGCCGAGCCGAGCAAACCCACCACGGCGCCCAGCTCTTTCGCCTTTGCCTTTCCTACTCAAAGCCTCCCCGAGAAACCGGCTGATTCCCCGTGATGGAAAACCAGAGGAGGAGAAAGCCTTCGGAGCAATCGGCCGGCTGAGCAAGGGGAAGGCGGCTGCGAGGTGGAGCCGCCCGCCTGCGGTGCCGCTTGTGCAGGCCGGGCCCCGAAGGGCGCGCACGGGTCCCCGCGCGGTCGTTGCTTACGGTCGCTGCTCGTGAGCGAGCGGCTGGCCTCCGAGCCTCGCGGGAGGTGCGTCCCGTTGGCCTGGCTGAGTTTTGGCGTTGCCGGGAAGTTGTTCCTGAAAGAAAGAGGAAGCTGCAGCTGGTATCCGCTGGGATGGGGTGGGGGCAAAACCTAAGGCCGGGGGCCGGTCTGGCAGCTGTGGGCCCCCATCTGGCCAGGCCCACCAACAGCCTATTTCCCTTCCACACCTGCAGGCGTGCCCCTACAGCTCTGAGGACTAGAAACCTGACTCATCCATCGGGCAAGATTCTCAGAGGGGGAATTCGGCCTGCTGACTCAGAGCCTAGGTCCCGAGCGAGCGAGCGAGCGTGCGTGCTGCAGGAAGTCCCTCTCGGAAGCACAGGCTCCTCCCCACCAAAAAGGTTCCCCGCAGCAGCCGAGCGGCGAGGCACGCTCCACAGCGCCAGAGCGGGCGCCCGGCCCTCACCCGAGACACGTGGCATCCTGGCCACGACTCGTGTCCAGCACACACAGCGGCTCCGTGATATTCCTGGTGCTCAGGGAAAACCGCTCAAACTCCGATGGGGAGATCAGGTAGAAGCCTGGAGAGAGGAGGGAGGGGCGACAGGGTGATTTCCCGGGGGACGCTGCGAGGGGGGCTCCCCGGCCCGCCGCCCCCCCACTCACCTTGCCCCTGCCTGGTGAACACGCAGGAGGCGATGCCGCTGATGTCCTCCTTGCGGATGCAGCTGTAGTGGACCTGGGGCCGCAGAGCCGGCACCGTGAAGACGTGGATGTCGCCCAGGTTGGTGAGGCAGGCCAGGCCGTGCTCGGCGTAGTCCTCGGACGCGGCGCTGGCGAAGTGCACCAGCCCCACCTTGCGCACCCGGCAGCCCTCGTGCGCCGTCAGCTTGAACTTGGTCTTGGCACTCACTTTGGGCAGCGTGAACACCTGGGGCGCACGGGGAAAGCGAGCGGGTCGGGGAGGGGAGGGGAGGGCCCCGTTCTCCGGAGGCTCCTCCGCATCAGCCGCCCCCGCTGCGCTTGCCGGAGCGGCGCGCGTTTCGCCTGACCTGCGTGCGATGCGCGAGCCAAGCACCCCCAAGATGGGGCTGAAACGCTTGCGCACAGATATTTCGGCAAAAGAGGACTCTGGAGTGAGGTCCAGCAAGTGCCGCTCCCAAAGCGTCGTGCTCACCCGCCAAATGGAGTCACACGTCCCCCTTCCCCAAAGGAAGAGCGGCGGCAGCAGCCCTCTTCGCACGGCAAATACTGACCCAAGCCAACCCTGCACCACATTCAGAAGTACGCAGGGACAAGCCAGCATCGTGAAGCCAGTTCAGGGAGAGGGCGGTGCTTCTTGCCCTCACTCTGAATGTGCAAATGCCGCAGCCCCTGTTCATAACTTGCCCAGGCCCCCAAAGCGGATTGCAAAAGCTGCACTGCCTGCGAGATCCCCCAGCACGTGGAAGCGGAGACTCAGGTCCACGGGCCTTCTGAAAGGAAGCAGCTCCGCGACCGCGGGGCACCGCCGTTTTACACAGCTCCCCTTTCACGGGCAGCTGCCACGCGCTCAGCAAGGCTCACCTTGAACTGCTCCTCGGAGGCGATGAGCACGGAATGGGTGCCCTGCACGTCGGGCGCTTTGGCCAGGTCCCGCGAGACCTCGTACGGCTCCGGCAGCGGGTTCCCCCGGCCATCCAGGACCGCGATCGACACCACGGGCGCTCTGTGCATGAGCTGGATTTCCTTCCCCAGGACGGCCTCCACAGAGCGCTCCGAAAACTTCTCCTGCGAGGGGACCTCCAGGGCGTACGCGAACACGGAGCCGGAGTTCGTGCCGGCCCACATGGTGGGGCCGTGGTGCATGGCTAGGAGAGAAGGAGCAGGGCGTGAAGCCGCGGGCCGGGGGGCACGGAGCCCGTCCAATCCGGCCTGTCAGGGCTTCGCGCATGCCCAGATCCACTCCTGCTCACAGGTGGACTGGACTGCGTGCGCACTGCCGGTTCCAACCGCGCATCGGCAGCGACGCCCACGTGCGTGTCTGCGCAGGTGCACAGTGGTGCAATCTGGAGATCCGCGCGACAGAATCCGCGTGACTCGAAAAAACCGGGTCTACCGCAGAGCAAGCGGGGTGGATCCACCCGGCTCTGAATTCCCGGGGATCTCGCCGACATTCCCGGCGTGAGACGGGGCTGCCACCAGTCCCGGGGGTGCGACGTATCTTCCTACGTGGCAAGGGAGAGGCCGACGCTGCCCTGGCGGAGAGGGGCCGATTCTGCACGCTAGGGCAGGAAAAGGGCAAGGATGCAGTAGCTTCCCCCACGTTGCCACAATTCCCATCAGCCCCAGCTCACCCGGAGGGCATGGGAGGGTCAGAAGGCTGGCGCAGAGGGGGCTGGCATCCCTGCCCATCTGACCACAGAACTGGGTGGCGTGAGAAAAAGTGGAAAGCCACACCGGTCTGGTCTCCCTAAGACAAGCCACAACAGGCAAACCTTCGCTTTATCAGAAACCACGTCTCTTCAGATAATTATCTGTTTATCCAGCAGCCTGCCAGCTTCTTCCTTTCTCTTCTAGTAAGAAAACCTTTTGTGTAAAAAATTAACCACATCCTTGCCTTGCATTGTATAATTTGCTCTTCTCGGTCCATGTGGGGGCTGCACCGATGGCATTCAGCAACCCAGACTCGAGCATTTTTGGGAGAAAAAGGGCCGGTGAACGGCTGGCTTTGTTCAGGATCGGGCTTTAAGGCATTTTCTCAACATCACCGATGAATAAATCCGGAAAGTTGTCCTTTTTAATGGGCCATTTCTTACGACTGTATTAACTTTCAACCTGCATTTGCATCTTTCCTTCCAACTAAATGCGTAACTACCACTGAGAGGTGCCTAACAGGCGCTGATCGATTGACAACATCTATGATGCACTTCTCGTCTTAGACACTTTGGAAAAGTGAGTCGTTTTTGATGGACGGGTCACGTTTTAGCAGTGTGGCGTGACACAGAGTACGGGACAGGGGACCTGAGAGATCTGGGTTCTGGTCCTCACTGAACCTTGCTGGGCGACCCTGGGCCAGTCACTCACGCTCAGCCCGTCCTACCTCACAGGGTTGTTGTTATGAGGAAGAAAATGGGGCCGAGGAGAACCATGAAAGTCTCTTTGGTTCCACACAAGCAGAACCAGGGCAGGAACGCCAAGCGATACGACGACGACAACAGAACATTCTCGACGAGCAAGTCATCCGTTCATAGGAACAATTCTTCTGTTCCCGGAACAACAGAGCAACACCCCATAGGTGTCGACACAGAAGAACGCCTCCTGCTTCCGGCTTGCCCCAGACGCCTCCCCACGCGCCCCGTGGCTCCCCGCCCCGCCCCACCCTACCGTCTCGGAGGAAGGTGTCCGCGAAGTAGAGACAGCGCACCACCCCGGAGAGCGAGTCGTCTGCAGACCGGGGCTCGATCCGCCGCTGGACAGGGGTCATCTCGACATCGTGGGGGCCGGGCTGCTCGGCCAGCTGGGCGTTCGCTTCCTGCAGCTGGGGGGGCACGGAGCGGGACACCAGTCGAGGCGCAGACCGAGCGCTGCGGCCGGTCCCAAAAGTGCCACGCGACGGGGCTGTCCCCCCCCCACCCCCACACGCGGGAGCTGCAGGGGCGCGCCGGCCTCGGAGGCCCATGCGCGGGAAGCCCATGCGCAGGGCCCATGTGCAGGAAGCCCAGCGCCGCCCACCTTGCTGGAGGGGCTGCTGGCGTTGGCCCTCTTCTTGCCCGACACCCTGCTCTTGCGGATCCGGCGGAAGGACTGGCGCAGGGACTTCTTGAGCGACTTCACGCGGGACAGGGGGCCCTCCATGGCCAGGGAGTCGCTGGGGTGCAGCGTGCACCTGGAAGACGCGGCGAGGAGGCCCTGTGGGGTGCAGCGGCCACGCGGGGCCCGCTCCCCTTGCCCCGGCATGGGGCCCGAGGCACCAAGACCCCCTGGGGCCAGAGGGCTCCGCAGCTGGACGGCAGACGCCGGCGGCTCTCCGGCACTCGTCCGGCACACGCGCCAACCTGGCCATGAGCCCCGGCGCAGGTTGTCCGAGAGCCCCCAGAGGTCGCCCCAGGAAGGGCACCGCCCACGCCCCCTTCCTGACGTCCAGCCAGCGTCCTGGGGAAGCTGTGGCAGGACGCCCCAGTTTGCACCCCCCAAAACCTCAGGCTGCCCAGGAAGATGCAGGTGGGCACTGACCCCCTTTTCCAGGGAAGAGGAAGCTGCACCACCAGTCGCCAAGGGCGGGCTGCCCTCGGCGGGCACGGTGAGCCCCCCGCCCTCACCTGGCCAGCACGGGGTTCCTCCGGTAGTAGTCATAGAGCCCGAAGCCGTGGCTGGTCCCAAAGGCCACCAGGTTCCACTCCGAGTGCAGCGTGACGGCCGTGACGGCGGCGGGGGGCATGCACTGCACCAGCCCTGTGGGCTGGAAGCCGGGGGCGAAGGGCAGGGCGCCGTTCTTGGGGGCCAGCCGGTCGTGGCCCTTCCAGGTGAAGCCCTCGCGGTCCTGGAGGAGGTCCAGCACGGCCACGCTGATCGCATGCTGCGACGGCTCGTCGGCCAGCTCCATCACCAGCACCTGCGGTGGGGGGAACTGGCCGTTACGACGGCGTGCCGGGAGCCACGGGGCTTTAGGTGTCACAGAGGCGGACGAGAGCTCGCTCGAAGGGCAGAGCAACGCTGCGGCGGCTTGGATGCAGCCCGAACACGAGCAGGAACGAGAGAGCCCGGAGGATTTCGGGGGGTGGGGGGAGCCGAACTGGGCACGGGGCTTTACCTGCCCCGCTGTGCCGGCCACCACCATCTTGGCCGTGTATTTGCAGAGAGCCACCTTCTGTATGCCCAGCCTGGGGTCATCGCTGTACGGGTCAAAGCATCCCACCTGGATTAAAAGATCCCCCATCCCAAGAGAGGGCAGGGGGAAGAACCGAGAAAACGTAAGAAAACAAATTACTTTGTCCGCAGCATAAAAATACCAAGTATGTCATAACCCATCAACAGTCACCTGTACACAGTGAAACAGATATATAAAACCGGACGGCTATACGTCCTGCGGAGGAATGTACTGAGATGGATCTCGTGAAGAGGAAATTATTTAGGTCTTTCCAAAAGAGGATGCAACTCTCACGACTCGGGTCGGCTTAAGAAGTCTGGCGGTGTCAGCAGGAATAAAAGCCGTTGTCGAACGCACGAGGCCCGCAGCTCTTTGCTCACCAGAGAAATTAAGCAACGCCCAACCTTCCCTTCTCAGCTTGCAGTCCGAAGTCCGCTTGCAGATTCCCAGGCGGATACAATCCCTGTCCCCCTGCTGAAGTTAGCAACCCCGACAGCGGACGGCCACATCTTTTTCCGTGGCTCCCGGTCGCGCCGTGCCCAAGGAAATATCTCTACCGGGGACTTCTCTCTGGCGTCTCAATCCCACCCCGTGAGTTTCGAGGTCTCGGAGCACACCTGAGACGGGAGGACAAGTACCTTCCGGAAAGGGGGCCACTCCTCCTCGCAGGCCTGGTTCAAGCTGTCGTTGTGGTCGCAGTCCGTCTGGAAAATGTTGGCCGTGCCCAGCTTGTACAAGGGCTTGAGGGACACTCCTGACGCGTCCCAGAACCGCACGGTGCCGTCTTCGTGGCTGCGGAGAGGGATGCCATGCTGGTAAGGCAGGAGCCGGCCGGCCCAAGCGCTCCCCAGATCCTCGAGCCCCGCTCCCCGGCCCCCAAAACGACCTCCTCCCACGGGCCAGACCCACTCTGACTTCCCGTGTTGGTTTTAGGAGGCACCCCTAACATGTTCCTGCGTTACCGCCTTGCTCCTCATGACTTTGAGTTGCCACCCAGAGAGTTTTTCCGCAAATGAGGCACGACGGATGTGCCACACAGGGGCAAGTGAATGGAAGCGACTCTCCATCTTGGTTTCCACAGGGCTGTGCTTGTTGCAGCACTGCAGCATGGGAGCGCTCTCTGCTTGCGCACGGAGGGTCGCAGAGGCCGAGACCGAGCAGGAAGAAACTCAGAAAAGGAGTGGGCCGCAGTGGGCTCTCCCAGCTGTTCCTCGAAAGGCCTCCTTCACGCAAGGAGCGGAAAAACAGCAGGGGAAGGAGGCGGAGAGCGTGCTGGGGGGGCCCCTCCAGGCTGGGACCCTGGAGATGCGGGCTGCTGGTTCAAACAAGCCACATCCCGTAGCTTGTTCCGTCACTCCTGCTCGCTGGAGGTTCAAGCAGGAGCCGCGGAGCCGCGCACATCGGCACGCTGGTGTGCTCGTGAGCCAGGATGTGCGAAGACGGCCCCTGGCCACCTTCTCCCACATGAGTTCGTTTAATCCCCTTTAAAAGCCATCCCAGCTGGCGGCCGTCAGGGGCTTCCTGCGGCAGGGAATTCCACAGTGTAACTAAGACTGTGTGAAGACCCAATTTCTGCTCCTCTTGAATCTCCCCCTCTTCACTTCCCGCACGGACCAGGTGCGTCGTTGTATTATACAGGAGGAACGAAACCCTCTCTCTCTGCCCTCCCTCCACATCCAGAAAGATTGTATGAACTCTTATTCTCCCTTGCTCTCCTTGGGCAGAGCAAGAAAGCCCTCAGCCCCGAAGACAGCTCGTGGCCGACGTGAGAAACGAGCGGGGTGCGTCCTTCCTGGCGGGAGCCGAAGGGTTGGCTGCACATCAGCCCCTGGGTGGCCAGTCGACGCCGTCTCCTCCCAGGCCCCCGTTTGGGCCCGAACATCTGCTGGCCACCCCGGCCGGCAAGGCTCAGCAGGCCTCTCTGAGGACTAGGAACATCCCCAGGCCTGGGACGCGCTTGGCTAAGAGCGATGCGGGCGTTGCCAAGAGGAGCGGAAGGCAATCCAGAGAGTGGGGGGGGGGGGTCGACTGCGGGAACGAAAGGGGCCAGGCCACTGACGCTCTCCTGCCAGGCAGCCAAACTAATCTGGCGCAGGGCCGAGCGTGTCCGTGGGGGACACGCTCGCCCCTGCTGGCTCCTCGTGACAAGGGTGGGGCTTCCGGCAAGTGCCACCCACCGATCCTCGCCTCCAGCATCATCGGCGCATGAGCCTCAGAGAATCACGGAATTACGGAACAGTAGCACTGGAGGGGGCCACGAAGGCCATCCAGTCCACCCCCTGCTGTGGCAGGACCCCACGACACACCATCCCACCCAGGTGGCTGCCCGGTTTCGCCTTGCATGTCTCCAGTGTGGGGGAGCCCCCCACCTCTCTGGGCAGCTGGATCCCCTGTCGTGTTGCTCTGACGGTGGGGAAGCTCTTCCTGATGCCCAGCCTGGATCTGGGTGGTCGCAGCCTGAGCTGCTCCTTCCCTGCCCTGCACTCCGGCATCAGGGAGAAGAGATCTGGCACAGGCTGAAGCTCGCCGAGCAGGCGCTCCGCCCGACGCCACCCGCCTGCTCCTGGACGGAGACGGCCCGTGAACTCACCCGGTCAAGAGCAGCCCCCTCTGCGTCGGCTCCTGGGCGAGATTCCGCCCTCCGTTGATGGGCCAGTTCTGTTCAGGAACACACAGGCGTGGGGAAAGAAGCTTACGGCTATGCTGGGAAAGGCTTCACCCCCCCACACCCCCCACCCTGGAAGGAAAGACCTTTGGTGCAAAAGAAACTGCCTGAACCGAAGTGGAGTGCAGGAAACACTGTTAAGTGTAGTGTCACGCTGACATTCTCCACTTTTAGTTTAAACATGGCTCTCCAGGTCTAGTCCAGTGATGGCGACCCTTTTAGAGACCGAGTGCCCAAGCTGCAACCCAAACACACTTATTTACCGCAAAGTGCCAACACTGCAATAAAACCTGAAAACAGAGGTTTTAGTTTAGAGAAAAGAACTCAGAGCCAGTCCAAGCGAATGTATATATATCCTTGGCAGCGCATTGACCGGCCATGCGAAAGCTCAGACGAGTCGTGGCAAATGAATCGGGGCTCGTGACGTCATCGCTCCTTTCCGAGCATGCACATGGCCCTATGTGCGCTGTTATCCGATGCGCAGCTACTGGGGCGACTTGGCTCGCGTGCCAACAGAGAGGGCTCTGCGTGCCCACTGTGGCACATGTGCCATAGATTCACCACCACTGGCCTGACCCTACCCTGGTGCACTCCTCTAACCCTAACATAGGGCAAAGGTTCCACTGAAAAGAGGGCGATTTTGAAAAAGACTTCCCTGAGGAGCTTTTTCTGCCCAGCTCATCCTTTCTGCCCATTCTAAGCACATTCCAACCATCAAAACCCTGCCAGGATGCCTCATTTTCCTAACCCTAACCCTACCCTGGTGCACACCCCTAACCCTAAAATAGGGGCAAAGTACCATTGAAAATAATGCGACTTTGAAAAAGCCTCCCTTGAGTAGGTTTTTCTGCACAGCTCATCCTTTCTGCCCATTCTACACACATTCCAACCATCAAAATCCTGCCAGGGCGCCTCGTTTTCCTAACCCTAACCCTACCCTGGTGCACAACCCTAACCCTAGTATAGGGATAAAGTTCCATGGAAACTAATGCGATTTTGAAAAAGCCCCCCTTGAGTAGGTTTTTCTGCACAGCTCATCCTTTCTGCCCATTCTAAACACATTCCAACCATCAAAACCCTGCCAGGACGCCTCGTTTTTCTAACCCTAACCCTACCCTGGTGCACACCCCTAACCCTAAAATAGGGGCAGAGTTCCATTGAAAATAATGCGATTTTGAAAAAGCCGACCTTGAGCAGCTTTTTCTGAACAGCTCATCCTTTCTGCCCATTCTAAACACATTCCAACCATCAAAACCCTGCCAGGGCGCCTCGTTTTTCTAACCCTAACCCTACCCTGGTGCACACCCCTAACCCTAGTATAGGGATAAAGTTCCATGGAAACTAATGCGATTTTGAAAAAGCCCCCCTTGAGTAGGTTTTTCTGCACAGCTCATCCTTTCTGCCCATTCTAAACACATTCAAACCATCAAAACCCTGCCAGGACGCCTCGTTTTTCTAACCCTAACCC